TGTTTGATATCAAGCTCAAAAGCAATTAATGCAAGCAGAAACTTACCTTTACAGCTGCTGTCACTGCAGCAGTTGCTGCCAAATTCAACCCCTGCCTTCCAAAATTCACCATGGTCTCATAGCCTGTTTCTTTGGCTTGGACAATGTACTCATCAATCTCCTAAAAGAAAAACGTATTTAAATTTTAGAGGGCTGTTCATAAGAGAGAAAAGTTACCCCACAGTATTATTTTCCCATCAGTAAAGGAAGACAGAAAAAATATTTAAGAAAATATTTAATGGGATATATCTTTGTATACAGGTGTTTTATTCATTACAACTCTCTCATTTAAAAAACTATTATATGTGGTCAAACAAGAAGATGAAGTACATCACTTCAGTACAGCTCAGAAACGTTGCAAAATGTTCCCTAGAGAGTGTAAGCTTAACTTGTTGGACAGAAGTTTTTCAAGAAATATCATGCATTTCAAGAAATAACATCATCTTACATGAAGAACTCAGTCAGCTCCCTAGAAAGGTAGAGTCAACTTGCAAAGAACTTCCAAAACCACAGCTTTGAAATAGTTAAGTACCAAGGACAAAACAGTTACAACGTTTATCTCCAGCTCTGGTAAATGCCTGGAGTTGAAGATAAAGACTGCAAGGTACTTCCCAATAGTTTGCAGAGTACAGGGAAGTATCCCTCTAGCTCACAAAGTTGCAAGTTGTTTATTGCACAACATTCAGAATGTCAAGATACTTGCTCTGTTCCTATCAGTGACAATCTTACTACCTGCTTTACCTAATAAAGGCCAAGCCTAGCACTGACCTTCAGGAATGCTATTTTCTGTAGTGTGAGGTTTCTCAGTGCTTGTCTTCAGACCTTTGCTAATTGCTCTTTCCCCTCATCCAAACAGGATGCTGAAAAAGAGCTAAGCAGAGCTGTGTCCCTGTCATACTTTGATTAAAGCAAACCATCTTCTGGCTATTTTTATGTTTGGGTATTTACTGCTGCAGACTGGTTTACCCTTTAAACAAGTCTCTCCTCTTGTCAGTTTGCAAACCAAAAAAAGTCATTGATGTCAATCATCCTGAGGAGTGTTATTCCTCATTTATGCTAGAAAAAAATGTTAACATTAACAGCTTTCAGTAAAGCTGTGTTCATACATTCACATGCTTGCAGTAGAAAGTTAAACTGCATCACTTCCACTTAACTGGGCTCCTCAGAGTGCATCAAGTAGAGCAGGGCACACGAAACTCTCATGTTAATAGGAAGCAGGACCTGGTCTGCTCAGGCAAGTTAAACAAAAGCATAGACATGGACAATCATGTGCACTTGCTTCCACTAGTCCAAATTCATGCTGCCTGGCAAGACAGTAACAAGCTGCTCTGCTCTTATACTGTATCTAGCAACAGCTTTTATTTCAGCATATGTTGTTTGCATATTAGGCATTAGAAATCTGAGAAGTTATTTCTTACCCTTTCTTTAGAAGAAAGCAGTGGGTGGAGGAATTTTCTGTAGATTAAATTTGTCCCTCTAGTATATGGGGAAAGGAGACAGATAACAAAAGCTATCTTCAATTCATAGTACAGTGGAAACCTACAGACAAGTTAAAGGTTGCACAAAATCAACAACTGCAGTAGAAAATGCACAGTAACTAATCTTTATAAAGAGATCTATTAAAAAAACACAATTATATTAGCATTTAGGATTCTTCAAATACAAGAAGTTACATCAGACAAAAATTAAATGAGTTACGGATTTATGGACTGTCATTTAAGCAATCAAAACAGTTAATATGCTTGTTTTTCATTATATATTCCTACACAGAGAAATTCTAGGCCATCCTTATAAGAGTTTCATTCTCGTATTCCGTTTCTACAGTGGAGCTAGAAATGTTATAATCCCTACTTCAAGTAACAGTGTATAGCAAATTTGAAAGCAGATGCTGTTCATCTATGCACCAAGATCTTTTTCTGTAAAATGGGCTATTAAATTAACATGACTTCTTTATATAAAATAAATCAATACAACTCCAAAAACATCAGAAACAAATATAGTTTCCTCTACAGTTCATAAAAAGCAGGGTCTTACCAAGAGACTGTTAGGTCAGTTATCGTTTCAGTAACTGTATAAAGAGCACACACAATCCAGTACATCATCCAGCGAACCTGAAAATTAAAATAGCATCTTCACTAAGAGCTTTAATTTCACTTTTAGACATAATATACTATACACGGTACAGTTTTTTCAGAGTTAGCACGGCAAAACATTCAACAGTATCTCAGTCTTCATAAACCGGGTATCAGGTGAAATGATCAGGTGAAGATTCCAAAAGATTTCTGTTCATAAGTAGGATTGGTGGCAGCTGCAACAAGCTCAATGAAATGGCTGTGTCACCAGGATCACAGCCTCACATAGGCTGATTTCACAGATTTGATTCTCTCTCTACAAACCTTTAGCGATATAAAAAAAACAGTGCGAGATCAGTAGATTATCCTAAGTATGGAAAACAAATCCCACCATAACACTAACAGATATTTCATTCTCTTCCACACTCAACCATATGTTCATACCATGCACACGAAAGTCAGCATTAGTGAAGCATCCCTTGCTTTCATTTCACAGTATGTGTTATTCAGCTTCACATTGCCATTACATTCCACGTGTGTGATTACTGGTATGGTATTAACATGGAGGCAAGGCAACATAAAGAGCATTTGCATGGAGATTTTAATTCTATTTATATGCCAAGAACTACAAAATTCTTGTTAATTAAAAAGTTTATGTGTTAATGCTTCAGGGATTTACAGGTATAAACCTATTTTTGTTTATGACTTATACTATATATCATTGCTTTGAAATCAGACTTAAAGTTCTTAAAATAGTATAATTTGTTTTATAACAAGTAAGATAATCACTCCTTTTTCTTGAGCATTTGTTCAAATTTGGTTGCATAAGCTGATTACATGTTTCAGAATAAATACTACAGAAATAGTTCCTATGCATTTGTCTTCCCTAAGCTAGGAGATGCCAAATGCAATGTATTTCCAAAATGGGTCACTGCAAACCACCACTGGTTATTTGTACAAACTGAACATCCACATGTTCTTTAAATTCCTAGGAAAATACCCTGCAACAATACATAACCATTTAGAAACAAACAACCCCCCCAAAAAACCAAACCAGCAAACAGTAAAACAAAACCACCACAACTGTTAGAGAACTGTTAGAGACTAGTTTGAGCCCTAAATTCACAGTACTCTCTTTCAAAGGGAGGATATATATATATTCCTTTGAAGGTGTGTGTATATATATATATATATACACACACACATACATACACACCTATATTTTCCATATATATATATATATATATATATATATATATATATTCCTTTGAAGGTGTATATATATATATATATATATATATATATACACATACATACACACCTTCCCACAGAGGATGTGGCTCAGATTTAATCTTCCCTTTTAAAACAATCTTATTTGTAGTGGACTTAAGTAACTACTCTAAACCTAATGATACACTGCTGCCTATTTCATGGATGTGCATGATCGTTTAAAACCACTTCCTCTGTCAGAACCTGAGACCCATTTATCTTAAATGCTTTTCTGTGTTTCAGTTTGACAAGAAACTCAGTCATGTGATAACATTCTTCAATTTCTCAGAGGATTTAGATATTTTAGGGTTGAATAAACAAAGACAAATGTACACAACAGCTGAAGTCATTGCTGACAGGCCGTGTGATATTTAGACTGGTGACCCTTCCATGAACCAGAGTCAACACCTGAATGAAAATCAAATCTAACCTTGCCCCATCAACTTAAGCAGAATGCAATGCAACCTTTAAGAATCCTTCCAAGACTGTATTTTTCCCCAATATAATTTATCTAGGTTGTTCCTTCTTAAATCAACATCTATTAATCCAATTAAGAACAGTGTAAGTGGAATTTCTCCTGGGCTTCTAGGAACAGTAAAAATGTCTTGCAGGAGGGCACAAGAGATCTGCCAGGAGACCTCCTGAGGACTGGGCAAAGATTCTATAAACCACAAATCATATTCTAGTTTGCAGTAACTAATGCAGTAGGTACCACAAGTATCAATGATGTAACAAATGAACATGTGTGACTTAGAGGGGTTTTCATAGCAGAAAAAAAGAGAAAAGGACATGAAAAATTGAAGGTCAGATTTCACACTACTGAACACTATCACCTACTTTAAGTAACAGAATCTTCAACCAAGTTTTATTTTTCATGTTAAAAAAAGTGATTACAGATTTGTTTAGTTGAGGGGTTTTTTCCTAGCATTCAAGTGTTAAGCTCATCTTGGTTGGTTTTGTCTGAAGCACATTCTTTCAGGTCAGGATTTTGAAGCCAGTATTTGAAAAGGCTGGTCTGTTCAGACATAAAAACTACATTTCAGATGCTTATTTCAAGTGCTTTGGTGCAATACAGTGAAAAAACATCTTAAATATCTTAGTCAACTCCATTAAACAAGGATAATTGCAAGAACAAATAAATCTCCTCAAAGGCCTAGATTCTAATTTTTAGCACTGAAGTCCGTAAGTTTTTTAAATTACCATAAGCAGCACGACACCTTTTTTCCCCCCTGAAATAATCTTTGACCAATTTTCTACATCATGACCTACACAACAAGTCAAGATGTCTATTCTTTTTGTTTGGTTGGTTTTTAGTGGTGGAAGTAGTGGCTGGGTAAGATATTTTACTGTTACTGATAGTAAAAGGCCTTAAAATCTTAGAAAATTCGGGGACTTAGAAAAAAGTTAGGTTTGGAAAGCCCCGGGAAAAGCAGGCCCTGGAAACGTTAGGCCTTGTGCTTGCTAAAGACCAGGTCAAGCTGCACTTGTGTAGTCAGTATATGATAAATGATACAATTGTTAGATGTGATTAGATATAATTATTGTTTAGAGAACATGGGGAACCATGTTAGGGGGCCAAGGGGGGATTACGAGAAATTCATGCTTGGGTAAAAACAATGTATACAATAGAACAATGTAAGTTTAATAATTACTATGTAAGTTGCATAATGATAGATTATAAAATATGTTCAACTCGAAACCCAAGTGGGGTCAGATTTGGGTATGTGTACCCCTGACACCCAGAGCTCTTTAAATAAAGCACCTTCATATAACCATTCGTGGTTATGTGTGTTCCTGAACGCTAACATTTTGGCAACCCAGATGGGACCTTGTGAGTGCTGGTGAGCGAACTCGCGACCCGATCACGCTCCAGCCGGCACCAAGGGATTCTCGGGGAGCCCATCAGCCGCGACCGTCTCCGCTGCTCACAACGTCCCCGGGAGAGAAAGGTAAGGTGCTTTACTTTGGTTTTGGTGCCTGCCAGTTAGACGCGGCGAAAGCTGCGCGTGGTTGGGCTAAAGGAATTCCTCTTGGTAAAGCCTAGGCACCGTCCGTAAGACGACTGCGAAAGCGTCGCAGGTTCGGCATTTGTGGTATATTACAGTTATAATATGGAGAAGGGTTTTGGGCTGCTATGCTCCCATACCAGGTACTTCTCCTTTGGGGTGCTTATTAGCACATTGGAAACAAGGTAACTTTGGAGAAGAATTACATAAGACTAAGATAATTTCGGCCAGATCTCCCACAGAAAAAGACCCCAGCAATCCCGTCTCATCTGTTAGTAGCTATAACCTCTTCTCTCTTTCTTTACTTTGCTTTCCTTATTTCTCTCTCTCTCTCCCCTCTATCGCATAACCCTTGTTGTTGGCACTAAAATAAAGGTACATTATTGTTGTGATTTAAACTGAAATCCCTTTGTGTCTTTTTGCACTCTGAGATCAAACAAACCTCTCATGAGCCCCACTTGCATTAGCGAATTATGACATCTAAATTGGCATCATGGACAGGATTTCTGACAGACAGAAGGGGCTGCAGGTTTGTTGTGCAGTCTGTATTAGGGGAAAGACGTTTTGCTCCAGCCGCACCTAGCCCGACACTCCCAAAAGAGTGAGCGGTGTCTAGAAAGCAAGGGGGGCGAGTCGGATTTCCCACAAACTGCACACGCCGAGGTAAAAAGCACCCCACACTCACTTGAGGGCTCTGTCTGCAGAATTTCACAAAAGATCTCTTAGTGCAAAAGGGCTGGATTGTTTTTGTTGTTGTGTGTATCAATTTTGACTGTTTGGTGTAGCAAAGAGACAAAGAGAATTTTACACTGAAGGAGTGCCTTCCAAGCAGATTTGGTCTTTTTACCCATACAGGGAAGCAAAGTTGTGTGTGTGTGTGCATAATTTAAGTTGATACCTCCCTGTAGTGGTTTTTCTTTTTGTAAAAATGACTGAAAACAGCAGTGCAAAAGTTAAAACTGCATTTTATGCATGCTATGCTCTGTTAGCAAAACACAGTGCCAGACCTTCTCCAGGAGGGAAAAGTTGGTGCTCAGTAATTGGTTTAATTTGGAAAATGTGATTGATAGAGTACGTTCTTTATAACATGAAACAAAATTTAAACTGGGAAAAAAATGAAACAAGAGAGGGAAACCCCTCTCATTAATCAAATTAACCCGCAAAAAGAGCTAACTTGGATAAAATTGTGGGGAACACTGCTGTCCTAGTTTGAAACCTCTAATTAAAAATATAATTTTTAATTAGATAATATAATTTTATAATATAATTATATTATATATTATATTATATATTATATTATAATAGAATATAATATACTATTACTACTATATTATAATAGAATATAATTATATCAATGATAAATATCTTGGTCTGCATATAACTACTAAAATAGAAATAAAAATAGGGAAAAAAAAAAAGGGAAAAAAGAAGAAAAAGAAAAAAAAGAAAAGAAAAAGAGAGTATGGGTGTCTCCTTCACGAGTCAGAGACAGAATACGTATTTCGAGT